GATGACTAGCTGCCTTCCCTCTAGTCTTACACTGCTAAATTAGGCACGGCTAACGCAGATAGCCCTCGTGTAGCTTTGCGCGAAATCCATAACAAACCCACCAATGTTTAAAAAAATCGCACGATATTTCTAGGTCGCCAAGAAGAGTCAACTTGGGTGAGACAAATGTGTTTGCTATATTCCTTTTCATATAAAACCATATTACTATATGGTGACCCCCCAAAAAGCTCCAATGCTCCCACCCCCAAGGGAGAGGAGGCGGGCCTGAAAACTAACCCCCAAAATTATTACAGCAAAAATTGAAAACCATCACGAAAGACAACATATTCAAATAAACTTCTAAAATATAATAACATTACGACACGTACAAAGAAAATTTATCACCCAGGGTTGATTACCGTAATTTTTGGTATAGTAACTATAAAGTGTCCGACAGTGTACATGGGCTATTATCTTTTAGGACTTTTACCCGGTGAGGGGGATAAATATAAAAAAAAAACCTGAAACAGGGCACATTTCAATTATTACCTTCCACAAAGTAGGGTATGTAGGTAACATCTAATGAGATTATTGGAGATTTAATAACAAAAGAAAGAAAGAAGGGGGAACATTATTAGCTCTGATATAAATAATCCAGATATCTTCAGACCTATCAGCTTTGTCAATTGTTTTCACACTTCCTAGAAACTATTGTTGTTGTTTTAGCGACTACACAATGAGCTATCTACGCTCTGTCCACCACAGTGAATATAACCCCGGATTTTAGCGTTGATAAGTCTGTAAACTTACCGCTAACCCACAATGAGATTCCTAGAAACTAATAATTTACTAACCGAAACTTTAAACGCGTACAGAAAAAACATCAAACCACCAATCTCCTAGTACAGAATTCGGCAACCCTCAAAAATTGAAGATGAGTTGTGTTTGTCTGAGACCAAAACATTTCGACAGCCGCAACATGCCCTAGGCCTAACGTTACGTTACACTTCCAACCACCTAATGAGGTTTCGGCACATCTGCTTATATTTCATATTTAAATTCTAATTGGTTGTGTTGGCAATAAAGGCTTTGGAATTCGAATGTAAACTGATGTGTAGTGCAACTGTATCCTGTTTATTTTATTTAAAAAAATAAAAGTTCAAAGAAATAAAACAAATCTGATATTATGATTTCGTGTATATGCCTGATTGAACCTTCAATTGCTATTCCGAAAAATGAGATTTTACCATGTACTTCCGAAATAGAGGGCACTTGCCCCCCCCCCGGGATTATCTAACCAAAATTTAAAGGATAAGATAGGCGAAAGAAAAAATATCGTTTTCCTAGTTATAGTTTTCGTATTGTTCTGTCGCCCTCTGTAATATATCCTGCGGACGTCTATGGGGTGGGGCGGTGGGTAGGTATTTATAGACAGCCACATGTAGTTACGCAAAGAGCCGCAGGTTTCCGACGCCTACCTTTGGGGTGGGAGCATTGGAGCTTTTCTGGGGGTCACCATATAGTAATATGGTTTTATATGAAAAGGAATATGGCAAACACATTTGTCTCACCCAAGTTGACTTTTCTTAGCGACCTAGAAATATCGCGCGATTTTTTTAAAACTTTGGTGGGTTTGTTTGTTTGTTATGGATTTCGCGCAAAGTTACACTAGGGCTATCTGCCCTAGCCGTCCCTAATTTAGCAGTGTAAGATTAGACGGAAGGCAGCTAGTCATCACCACCCACCGCCAACTCTTGGGCTATTCTTTTACCAACGAATAGTGAGATTGACTTACACATTATAACGTCCCCACGACTGAAAGAGCGAGCATGTTTGGTGGGACGGGGATTCAAACCCACGACCCTCAGATTGCGAGTCGAGCGCCCAACCACCTGCTTATGGGATT